AGGAAAATGATAATGAAAATACAATAACAAAAACAGAAAACAAGTTCAGTTTTAAAACTGATAAATGCATTTAAACCAAAGTGGATATTTATTACCAAATTAATTATTATCATAACAGTAAATCCAAATTCTATAGTTTTTTATTTGGAGAAAGAATGTGAATGATAAATAATGTTCTGATTTGAATTAATTACATTTATTCTCGTGTCTCAGTTTTCATTAAATTTTAGAAATTAAAAATGAAGTATTAATTCTAAGTTATAACAATTTCAAACATAGATTAATGATGTTTATTATTTAATACACCATTCCAAACATAAACTTGTCATTCTAAATTCACCTATTTAAACATTGGGGTAATAGTAGGAGAGCTTATCATTTGGGCTATTAATATCTTTAGGCCGGTAGTGCTTTATGTGATTCGGGCATCCAACTATCTAGCTTATCATTTGGGCTTAACTTCTAATAATTTTTATATATATCTAAAATAAATCACAAGGTTCTTTAATTTACATAAGCATGCTCAAAGTAATCGGGAACATCCATCTAAATTTATATATATAATGAAGACCGTAATGGAGTCAGCTCAATCCGAATGAAATTATGCAGAAGTTTACAGAATTATTATGAAACTATGCAACTAGAAATTGATCCTATGATCGCAGCTATATATCTACAACATAGGCCTTATCCACACAAGTAAGGAGAACATACAAAGCTTTAGAATATTATTTTGGGCACTAGAACAAACCCGTTCTATACAAGCTTTTAATAATATGGTTGTGTTCTGTCATTCTGGGACTATCTCGACAATAGAGGAAAAAAGGGGAAGAAAGAGCAAACACACTAATAAATGCTAGAAAAAAAAAAAAAAAAGGCTTTATACATAGCATGTGGAAAAAATGATTTTTATCAGCTGTAGCAAAGGAAGCAACTTCATAGAAGTCGAATTATGAAAGAAACAAATATGCCTAGATACTTTATTCTATGGATAAAGGATCTAATTGATAGAGGAAGCACCGTAAAGACCAATTCACAAGGTTTTGGGCCATGCCTATCCGATCTATGATGCTAGCAATGAGCTTCCTAAAGTACAAATCTATTAACAAACAAATCACAGCTAACCCAAGCTCGAGGCCCATAACTCAAGTGTTAAGGCATTGTTAAGTGTAGACGTAATGCTCTAGATCCCAAATCATAGCCAACTATAGTTCTCTATGGCAAGACTGGGATTTGAAACCAATTAATCTTGATATAGGCCATAAATTCCATAAAACAGTATAGCAAACATTAGTTAATTATCTTAAATTTCAAGGTCATTTCAAATATTTGACATGTAAAATATTCAGGTGAACACAGAAACCCTTTTTCTAATGGTAATTGTTTTATGCTGCTCCCAATAGCCCCCCATTTGCTCTTCGGCGTCCACCATTCAAGTAAAACATAATCAACAACCATGCTCTAAATTTCCTATTTTCTGTCTCTATCCTTTCTCTCTTTCAGCTTGTTAAAACCCTTCCTGACAATTCCATTTAACCACCAAAATCCTTCCACCAAAAGCCCAAAATCATAAAACTTATCGCCCCCTAACACTTATCCATTATCCATGTTCAACTACTAATTTGAAACGTCAAGTTACAAGTCATAATTCAAAAACCATTAATCCCAATAAGCACGTTAAGATTCTGTTTTATTATCAACATTACAATTCAATATCTACTAAGCTACCAAACACCTTCTTCTAAGCTCACGATCACCAAACATTAACACAAAAAAAAAAAAAAAAAGGCGGTCAGTAATTAAGAACTAATAATCCAAATACACTTAACACTACATAAACAAAACCAAAAATAAATAAAAAATCACCAACAATTATCATGCTGACGCCAGCAACATCATCATATTTACATGAGTATGTTGGATGACATTATTTGTTTCATAAATCATAACTGTTGAGAGAAAGAAACCACTTTGAAGACTATATGCTATTTTGAAGAAAAAAGAATTAGTTAGTGTCAAAAATTACAATTAAGGACAAGGACTAACGGAGCTGGCTGATAAAATGATTTCTGTACAAAAGTAACGGAAGTGCAAAGTGTTTGGTCGTTAATCACTTAAGTGGGGAACGGAAGTGCTAGGGCTGATAAAATGAATTTCTGTTAGACGTTGAGTTGAAGTGCTAAGATAGAATCAAAGAAACGAAACTACAAATTATTAGCTAGGAGTTTTAGAAAGACATACTTAGAGAAAGAAGAGAATGCATATGAAGAGAGTTTTGAGGCCTAAAACTCTGGTTAAAAAAAAATGTCCCAACATCCAGCTGAAGGCCTCCTGAGATTTCGGCTACCAACTAATCCGTCAACTTGCAACGCGTGTTTGAGTATCATAATGATTGAACTGAGTTGCTTGGTCAACGGAGAAGTTGTAGGTGTATGAATGAGCTTTCAACACAGCTAATGAAGACCATAATATGATGTATATAGGTAAGATATGATTTACATACCGAGAGATGTTCCACAATGACAATTACTTTGATAGTTACGAGAAACAACACTAATTTATCAAGTGTTTAAGCAATAAACTACCAAATAAGAAAAGTGCAATGATAGGCTAGAGAAGAAAATAATTAATACTTACCAAGAAACTTCTCATCCAAGATTCTTGGTATTTTCTCTTCTATTTGTAGTTTCTTTGTTGAAGATTTAAAAAGAAGACCTATCTTCTTACCAAAGATGAGCAAAATTGGTGATTTTGGGCCACTGGAGACCCAAACCCGATAAGTTTCCTAAAGGGATGTAGACTCAAAGATTGTTGTGTAACGAGACAACCAGCGGAAAAATTGGCATTCAAGAAGATAAAACCTCTAATAACCCATAAAAACTTGTTTTACACTTCAAGTTAACTTCTCATAACCTATACTTCAAGATATTAACTTTTCTACCAACTTCTATATTTCAATCTTAACGTGACCATTAGCCATCATCTCAAAGCTTTGACCCATTCACATAAAGACAAAGTAAGGTTAATTTGGTCTTTTAGTCAATTTCGGTATGAATAATAAACTGAAGCTCAGTCGGCATCACAGTTTTGGCCCTTAGTTAACGACTTTTTAAAATTATTAAGGGTACGTTTGGTTCAGGGAATGTTAGATTACTAGAATTTTATATTACTTTGAAGATTATTGAAAATTTTTAGGAAAAAGTATTTGGTTAGTTGGTGGGTATATTATATTAATATGTTTTGTTATGGGGTATAAATTGGTAGATATATTATTTTAATTACTAAATTACCTTTTTTTTTAAATATTAATATAATATTATTTTTATTATTAATTTTTTAATAATTCTTTTAACCTCCAATATTTTAGATTTAGCCAAAACACCCCTGCCTCTATAAAACTTTAATTTATGATAAAATCATCCCCACCCCCACCCCCTGTCGCCGCCGGCTGCCCCTGCAAACCACTGTCGAAAGTCTCTAAAAGTCGTCGTGAGTAGCTCATCATGACCACAAGACTTCGATATGGCCATTTCTAGCCAGATCCTTGGCCATTATTGGCCAGATCTATTCCGGACAGAAGAGATCTAGCCGCTAATGGCCAAAGCTTGCCTAATATGACGGTTTTCGGCCATCAATATGGCTAGAAACGACTATATCAAAGCCTCTTGACGAATCTCGTAAGTTTTTAAGGACTCCGACAGCGGTCCATGGTGGTTGGCCCGCTGTCAGCAGTTGTGGCTGGGTGGCAGTGGTGGTCTATAATTTATTTTAAATATAAGGGTATTATTGTCCAAAAACTTAAATAAACAAGGGTAAAATTGAAATGATATATTAATGTAAATTTATTTTAAAACATGGGCATTATTGTCCAAAATTTTCATTAATAAAATATAGAATTGTAACAAAAATAAGGTTAAAGTAATCTTACAATACCTATGAAAATAGAAGTAATCAGATCACCTTCAATATTACCAACAGTAACAACTATTGGTAATAAAAGATTATCGGAATCTTATATTACTTGACAACCAAACATGGTAATCAAGTAATATAAAATGACATAACCTTAATAGTCTTTTATTACCTCCAATCAAACGCCAATAAAGACAAAGTAAGGGCTTTACGATGAAAACATGTATGGTTTCTTGTAAAATAAGGAGTAAACGACTTTTTTCTACCCAAATAAAGGCTTGATGACATTTTCTCATCCACATACTTTTAAAATACTATTTTATTACCTAAATTTATATTCCGTTTCATATTTTGGTGTCATTGCGACCCTACACCACCACTATTCTTTTTCTTGATCATCATTCACTAAAATCCCTTAAACCCTACTTTTATCGACTTTGTCAATCGTCGACAATCGAGCGATTAGAGTTTATACAGTTGCCCCTCTCAAGTCAAATTCTGGTTAATTCAAACTACCAAAATTTAATACTCTACCACCAAAAGACTGATTGACCTCTTGTCTCCAAAAACTTTAATAGTCTGGATTGAGTTTGCTCTTTGTTTATTATTGAAACATAAATTTAAATAGTAAAATAGTATTTTAAAAGTCTACGAGTGAGAAAATGTTATTAAACTATTATTTAGATGAGAAAAAGTTGTCTCACTCGTAAAATAAGACTTTGCCGAACCCTGACAGACAAACTGATTATCCCTCAATAAAAATGTTCTGTGGCATAAATTTATGATAAAAATGTCCTCTAATTGATAATACGCTTTTTAAATATATTTGCATAACAGTAAAATTCATAGTATTTTAGACTTCTAAAAGAACAAATTTAAATGATAGATAAACCGATACGAATAAAGAATCTATAAAACTTCTGTTTGGAGTTTGGACAACATAGGTTGCGCTGCCTGCCAACAACTTTTGGCCACGTCATCACCATTGGCGGGCCACGTGACGTAGCCCACCTTCTTCCTCTTAAACCCATTTTGCTTGGAGCATAGAGAGAAAGAGAGTCGGCAGGTAAAAAAAAAAAAAAAAAAAAAAAAAAACGCTGCGATTTGTTTTAGGTACATTTCAGAAGCCAACACCAAGAACCGAAAACATAAACCAAATCTAAAATCTCTTCTGGGTTTTGAATATTCAATCACATGGTGAGATTTTTTTTTTTTTTTTTTTTAAGACTTGATCATTTCTTCCTTCTTGCAATTTTCATTAGGGTTATAACGCCGCCACTTTCTGATCCAATTAGTTCATGGTCTGTATTTTCTGAGTTCTTTTCTTTATTTTTTTCATAACATGTTGGATTTGATATGGGAAGTTTGTGTTTATTTGGCAAGTCAATGGAGAAGAGATAAATTTGTTTTTTTTTTAATTTTTTTTAATGTGATTTTGGTTCAGATTTTATTTTTGATTGATTATGGAGTTCTTTGTATTATGGGTTAGCTGCTAAAATTTGCTTCTGTTGTAGGATACGGCGAAGAAGAGCGTTGTGCTTGTCTTTACAGACGATCAAGCTTTTTGTGTGAGTTCGATTTTTAATGCAACGAGAGAGCTCAGGGATGAAGCAGAGGAATACTGTGATCCTCACATTATCACTGAAGCATCTTCAATAAGTACTTTTTCCAATCTTCTTTTGGGTTTCATTTTCATATTTTCATTATTTTTTCTAATTCAATTCAATCCTTTTTGTATGCAATGTTTATTGTTCAATTTGTTCTTCTGTTTTGACAGGTCAGTTGCCAATGGAGTCCAACTCTCTTGACCTTGTTATATCTATTAGTACTTCACCTGAATTTCCTGATGATCGGGTGCTTGGCGAAAGTTCGAGAGTTCTGAAACCCAGTGGAACAATCTTGCTTTACAAGAAATTTAAGTCTGAGGAAGGGAATGCCGTTAAGGTATATTTTGTGTACTTTGTTATTTCTTTGTATTTTGCTTGTACCCATGTATCTGATCAGGGCTTTCATTGCAGGCATTCTCGGCTCTTGAGCTCAAGTTATTGTTAGCCGGATTTGTAGATGCAGTTTGTCTCGACCTAAAATCAGTTGTAGCAGCTGAAAATGTTCACTCGTTTGGGGTGAGCTTCTATTGTCACCTGGTAATTTTGGTATCATTTTCATTCTGCGTCCCCTTCTTTAAGTGTTCGTATAGACTTGAATTGAGTCCTCGCTGGTTAAAGATTAGGTCCACAAGAAATGATTAAATTACATTATTCATTGATTTTCTTTTTTATAATGAGGCCTATGTTGAGATTTGTTGTATGCGAATCTTGAGCCTTAACTTTGGGGTGAATGCGCTTCATTTTTCAGGGGTTTTTATTTATTGCTGAAGTTTATGGTGGGGTTCTGAATTTGAATACAAAATTTCAGTAGGTAGTTATTGTATTTATTGCTTTTTCCTACTCATGCTTTTCAAGCAGCATTATATGAGGATTTCAACTTTCAATTATGCTCTGGAAGTTGAAAATTATGGCAGTAAACTTTATTGTTGCATTTTGAGTTTTCGAGTGTTCATTTAACAATACATTAGTTGAATTTTTATTAGTTTGCTATTTCTAGGTAAAGGGTAAGAAGCCTTCCTGGGAAGTTGGGTCTTCCTTTGCTCTGAAGAAGGCACCTAAACGTTTATTGAAAGTTCAATTGGATGATGACTCTGAATTTATCATACGGATATTTGTTATTATCGTACAAGCATACCAAATTTCTGTTCATCTATCATTGTTGGTAGCTTGTGTTTGATCAATTGATGCGCTTCGACTAATTATATACTTTACAGTGTGGATTAGGGGATGTTTTTCGATGCAGCACATGCCCTTGCAAGGGTCTTCCTCCATTCAAACTGGGGGAGAAGGTATGGAAAATATTTAAGTGCTCTGTTTTCTTCTCTTTTTCTCCTGCATGTTTTATGAAATGAGAGTCAATGTATCAATGCAGGTATGTCGATGTAACCAGATTCCTCCTATGCGGGACACTGAAAATTTGGAAAAACAAAAAGTATATATATAATTTCCAGAAAAAAAAAATATAAATTTGACAAAAAAAATTATACATCCAAGAGAACTCTGATCTTGTGTGGATCTGTTAAATTAAACTTAAAACAGAATATGTTCAAAATCCTAATGAGTTGTAAGATTAGTTTCACTAACTTTCCCTAAAAGAAACCAACAAGATTTGCCAGATCCTTAAAACTAATAACAAAATAAAAAAACACAAGCAGATTTTAAGGAAACCAAGAAAACTACAGCTTTCGCCGACAGAAGAACTTTAATCCAATCAGTCGAAGAACGTTTCCATGTGAAACTAAAAGACAAAAACAAAAAGATTAGCTCTTGTCTTGCTTGGGCAGGCAGAGATTTTTTTTGTGCTGTGAAGTAAAACAAACGTGCATAGAAACCCCTAAGGTTTTGATGATGACATCAACACCCATATATTTTACGAACCATTAGACAGTCCATATGTATTAATCTTTATCTATTTAAATTTTCTCTTAAAGGCTTTCTCCAATAATTTTTTTTTTTTTTAATTTTATGTGTTTATAAAATTAATTAAAAACAATAAAGTTTATTTTTATACTTTTACTCGAAACTTTGTGCATAATTCAGTAGCTTATACCATAATTCAGGTAAAATACTATATTGGAAATTAAAAAACGAAGCAATATGAGCCATTGACATCAAGTTCCAAATAAAATTAAATATTTTAACTTTCACCCCATGGAATAGCTTCACGCTGCATAAAGAGCAGTCACAGGCATAAATAAGATACTTCCCCAACTAAGTGTACCCCTATGAAGTATATAAAAATCATTAATTAATCCAAGCACCAGTTAGGCAATTTTAAGCTGAAAAAAGGAAGCAATTAAGTGCACCCAGAGGCATTAAATGCTATAAATATGGGGAGAGACAGGAAAGAACCCAAACACAAAGACATGTTACCCACTTAGGGACAATTTCCACATTCGGGTCCAGCCCATGATTTTCTAACCTTGAAGCAAAGAGAGAAAACATGAGATTTGAAAGGGAAACCCAAACACATCCATTAATCGAACTTTAAAATAAATGAAAAGAAAGAAAGAGAGCAGTCAACTGGATACTTTTGGCTGGATAAGTTAACTGGTTTAGGAACAGCAACTTTCCCCAGTCATGCCACGTCTTCTGGCAGAAGCCATCTGCAAAATATTTACATTAGATTAAATAAAAAATTTAAAAAAAAAAATGCTTATAACATAATATGCATTATAACCATATACATCCAACAATGCTCATAAGCCTATACTGATTGTAAACTAATTAACGTCAAATGCATCAAAGAAACTTGCACAAAGGTGAAAATAACAAAAAACAGGCCTAATAACATCATATTTCAAATAAAAATTGAATACCCAATCCCCTAACCACCTTATGCAAATTACCGACAACTTCTTAATGAACACAAGCTTTTAAAACTAAAAATAGCTCAAGTATATCCGATATATTCCCATACTTTTCGACTGGAAAAAGTTTTAAATGAGACACAAGCTAATTGAAGACTCATAACATACAGGGGATGCTTTGCTTCACAATCATAAAATAAATCCAGTGATCATGCATTTTCTTCATTAAAAGAACACTGAAAACAAAGCAGTTGACTCAAGAGTCAGTATTCTCGGTAGTGAGATGCCAAACAGGGTCATTCAAAGTCTGCAGCTGGATGAAGCAGCTAGCAAACATAAGCAAGTCAAAAAAGAGCTACAGTGAACAGCAATGATGTAAGAGAATTCAACTTGGCCACTATGAACTTGGCCACTAAATCAACCAAAGTTATGGCTTGAGTATTGTTTCTTTCTTTTGATTGCGAAATAACAGGGTACCTTCATTTTCCAGTCAACATACTTGAAACCATGGTTCAACTGTTGTTGCAATGTCATTCAAACAATTTTGAAGCAATCTGTGTAAAAAGAAAACAATTAAATCGATCAGTATAAAGTATTAAAAATATTGCAGTTATGATATTTTTTTTTTTTTTTTAAGCAGCTGTGGGAAAGACATAAATAAGATTACCAATAAACATTTATTTTATTAGAAACAAGAAAAGCTATACGAATAGGGATATTCCCCATTTCCAACACAAGCACAACTACCACATATTATAAGAATGTATCATTCAAAAGTCCATCCAAATAGCCAGATACACCTTGTACATACTTAAACATAATGTAACAAATCAGCACCAGACTCTTTGACATCAAATCCAAAACAATTAAAACTCACAAAATTCAATCCAAAGATGTGAACTAAATAGTATAACAAAGGTATTTCAACAAGAAGGTCTGACAAGTCCCCCTAAAGTCATCTACCAAGTATATAATATAAAACGAGTTACTTATGCGAACAGATTATGAAGCCATGTAGCCCCCATATCAATTGTGGTAAATGTAATAAGGGGGGAAGAAATTCCACACGATGATTTATTATGCATTTGACTAATTGGGCACTGAAAGAAAAATTATGAACAAACATATTTTACTTTATGTTTACAATGTAGTTACATGAACATTTTTTGACTGATAAAAGTTACAGTTCAATAAACTTAAAGTCCTCAATAATATTGCTTCAGCAAAGGAAAATGATAATGAAAAGTACAATAACAAAAACAAGAAAACAAGTTCAGTTTTAAAACTGATAAATGCATTTAAACCAAAGTGTGATTATTTTATTACCAAATTAATTATTATCATAACAGTAAATCCCAAATTCTATACGTTTTTTATTTGGAGAAAGAATGTGAATGATAAATAATGTTCTGATTTGAATTAATTACATTTATTTCTCTGTCTCAGTTTTCAATTAAATTTTAGAAATTAAAAATGAAGTTATTAATTTCTAAGTTATAACAATTTCAAACATAGATTAATGATGTTTATTATTTAATACAACCATTCCAAACATAAACTTGTCATTCTAAATTCACCTATTTTAAACATTTTGGGGTAATAGTAGGAATAGCTTATCATTTGGGCTATTAATATCTTTAGGCCGGTAGTGCTTTATGTGATTCGGGCATCCAACTATCTAGCTTATCATTTGGGCTTAAATCTTCTAATAATTTTTATATATATCTAAAATAAATCACAAGGTTCTTTAATTTACATAAGCATGCTCACAAGTAATCGGGAACATCCATCTAAATTTTATATATATAATGAAGACCGTAATGGACGTCAGCTCAATCCGAATGAAATTATGCAGAAGCTTTACAGAATTATTATGAAACTATGCAACTAGAAATTGATCCCTATGATCGCAGCTATATACTCTACAACATAGGCCTTATCCACACAAGTAAAGGAGAACATACAAAAGCTTTAGAATATTATTTTTGGGCACTAGAACGAAACCCGTTCTTACTACAAGCTTTTAATAATATGGTTGTGTTCTGTCATTACGTGGGACTATCTCGACAATAGAGAGGAAAAAAGGGGAAGAAAGAGCAAACACACTAATAAATGCTAGAAAAAGAAAAAAAAAGGCTTTATACATATGCATTGTGGAAAAAATGATTTTTATCAGCTGTAGCAAAGGAAGCAACTTCATAGAAGTCGAATTATAAAGAAACAAATATGCCTAGATACTTTATTCTATGGATAAAGGATCTAATTGATAGAGGAAGCACCGTAAAGACCAATTCACAAGGTTTTGGGCCAATGCCTATCCGATCTATGATGCTAGCAATGAGCTTCCTAAAGTACAAATCTATTAACAAACAAATCACAGCTAAACCCAAGCTCGAGGCCCATAACTCAAGTGTTAAGGCATTGTTAAGGTGTAGACGTAATGCTCTAGATCCCAAATCATAGCCAACTATAGTTCTCTATGGCAAGACTGGGATTTGAAACCAATTAATCTTGATATAGGCCATAAATTCCATAAAACAGTATAGCAAACATTAGTTAAATTATCTTAAATTTCAAGGTCATTTCAAATATTTGACATGTAAAAATATTCAGGTGAACACAGAAACCCTTTTTCTAATGGTAATTGTTTTATGCTGCTCCCAATAGCCCCCCATTTGCTCTCTCGGCGTCACCATTCAAGTAAAACATAATCAACAACCATGCTCTAAATTTCCTATTTTCTGTCTCTATCCAGTTTCTCTCTTTTCAGCTTGTTAAAAACCCCTTCCTGACAATTCCATTTAACCATCCAAAATCCTTCCACAAAAGCCCAAAATCATAAAACTTATCGCCCCCTAACACTTATCCATTTATCCACGTGTTCAACTATCCTAATTTGAAACGTCAAGTTACAAGTCATAATTCAAAAACCATTAATCCCAATAAGCACGTTAAGATTCTGTTTTATTATCAACATTTACAATTCAATATCTACTAAGCTACCAAACACCTTCTTCTAAGCTCACGATCACCAAACATTAACACAAAAAAAAAAAAAAAAAAGGCGGTCAGTAATTAAGAACTAATAATCCAAATACACTTAACACTACATAAACAAAACCAAAAATAAATAAATAAATCACCAACAATTATCATGCTGACGCCAGCATCACATCATCATATTTACATGAGTATGTTGGATGACATTATTTGTTTCATAAATCATAACTGTTTGAAGAAAGAAACCACTTTGAAGACTATATGCTATTTTGAAGAAATAAAGAATTTAGTTAGTGTTCAAAAATTACAATTAAAGGACAAGGACTAACGGAGCTAGGCTGATAAAAATGAATTTCTGTACAAAAGTAACGGAAGTGCAAAGTCTGTTTGGTCCGTTAATCCACTTAAGTTGGGTAACGGAAGTGCTAGGGCTGATAAAAATGAATTTCTGTTAGACGTTGAGTTGAAGTGCTAAGATAGAATCAAAGAAACGAAACTACAAATCTATTAGCTAGGAGTTTTAGAAAGACATACTTAGAGAAAGAAGAGAATGCATATGAAGAGAGTTTTGAGGCCTAAAACTCTGGTAAAAAAAAAATGTCCCCAACATCCAGCTGAAGGCCTCCTGAGATTTCGGCTACCAACTAATCCGTCAACTTGCAACGCGTGTTTGAGTATCATAATGATTGAACTGAGTTGCTTGGTCAACGGAGAAGTTGTAGGTGTATGAATGAGCTTTCCAACAAGCTAATGAAGACCATAATATGATGTATATCGAGTAAGATATGATTTACATACCGAGAGATGTTCCACAATGACAATTACTTTTGATAGTTACGAGAAACAAACCTAATTTTTATCAAGTGTTTAAGCAATAAACTACCATAATTAAGAAAAGTGCAATGAATAGGCTAAGAGAAAGAAACTAATTAATACTTACCAAGAAACTTCTCATCCAAGATTCTTGGTATTTTCTCTTCTATTTGTAGTTTTCTTTGTTGAAGATTTAAAAAGAAGACCTATCTTCTTACCAAAGATGAGCAAAATTGGTGATTTTGGGCCACTGGAGACCCAAACCCGATAAGTTTTCCTAAAGGGATGTAGACTCAAAGATTGTTAGTGTAACGAGACAACCAGCGGAAAAATTGGCATTCAAGAAGATAAAACCTCTAATAACCCATAAAAAACTTGTTTTTCACTTCAAGTTAACTTCTCATAACCTATACTTCAAGATATTAACTTTTCTACCAACTTCTTATATTTCAATCTTAACGTGACCATTAGCCATCATCTCAAGCACCATTATGTAACCAAATACCTTAAAAATATTTCTCACGTTCACGTTCAAGAGATTAATTATGTACCCTAGTTTACACAAGTTGGTGATGCATCTTGTTAATGATACTAAATGAACTTGCATTTGAAGGGATGCATATGCAATAATTAAACCCTCAACTGGTTATAATTTTGTACAAGTGATTTTCATTTTTTATAAACCGAAATTTTCAACATATTTATCATTTCTATTTACAGACTTCAAATTTCAGTAACTTATAATTAATGTATCAAATGATTTCAATGTCATGATATTAAAATGAAATAAAAAAGAGGTCCGTGTTGGGTAAATTGAGAATTGCTTCCATGGAACCATTGGCCTCGTTTTTTAGCCTGCTTTAGTAATTTCTCCAAAAATGAAACTCACTCTTAACTAAAACTTTCTTCAGATTCATGAATGTTGAAGCTGATGAACAACTTAATTTTCTTGTTACTGCATTAACAACAATGTTCAATAAATTCTGACTCATAACTGCAAATTTTATCATAAACCACAATAATTAAAACTGTTGATCAAATAATTATCACCAGATATTTTTTTACAAGCACGGAAGGGGGAAAAAAAAATGAAACTTAAGTACCTTTCCTGCAAATCTCTTCGAGAGATTAATCACTTCTATTCAAGCACCAAGGAGAAGAAGCATGGTTTCTTTCATGCTTAGCAAATGCTTTCTCAAAGTTACCCATCTGTTTTCTTTCCACCAATTGATCCACATCATAGAAAATTGGAACCACTTTTTGTCCCAATGTGTTCTTACATCCAATAATCTTAACAAGGTTATCCAAGCACCAAGGAGAGAAGCATAGTTTCTTGAGAAAACAACAATTAAAATTCTCTATTTTTCAATTGCATCAAGGGGTTTTGATGAAACGAGTTTTCCTATCTCAAGTTCTTTGACTCCTTTATGAGTCAAAACAGAATAGAGATGATCAGTGAAATTCTGCTTTGACTCGTAAATGAGTCAAAGCACTCTAGATAGGAAAACCCCTTTCATCAGAACTCCTTGATGCAATTGAAAAACGTGTCCATTCCCTGCTCCAAATCGCGTGAAATCAGCTTGGAAGGTGGACAATGTGACGTAAAGCCTGATTTAGTCCTGACATTCACACCAACCCATGGATTTAATGATGATTACTTGCACTCATCTCACTATAAAAAGAGGAAGACCCCTTCATTAAGGGGATTCGGCTATTTTACACTCTGAACTAGCTTTCTCTCTCTCTCTCTCTCTTTTGTAACTTTGTATTTACTTTTCCCTAATCATTTGTAAGTCAGTCCGCTGTTGCGATCTAACCCACAATACTAATACAAATCAGTGGACGTAGGACTTGCTACCTTAGCATCCGAACCACTTTAAAAAGCTCTCATTGCATTTACTCTACATTCTATCCATAATCACGTGTATCTCTTGACCAATCAACGTTACGCATGTGTCGATTAGTTGGCGTCAA